GCGTTTTTTAACGGGACTGTTTTATCCCGGGTATTAAAAGCTGGAAGGAAGGAAGCAATATTTATATCTCTCACAAGGGCTATACAAATATCACAATTCAATTAAAGTGAGCTTACCAAATTTATGTGATTCAAGACACTGTCCCGCCAATTCCAAACTCCCAATCAAACAACTCTGAACAAAGCCTTGGCTAGATTCAGTGAGTTCAGTTCGCAATCCGGCAAGGACCCTTCTTCCCTCTTCCAAGCTTCAAAAGACAAATTTTGGGGCTGCAAAATACGCCAAAAAATGTGCAATATCGCCTTTTTCGGAGACACACGACGTGACTTGTTATCTCTAAACAAGCTCAATAACTCACAATAAACATGTCCCAATGGTGCCTGGGAAGGCCAGAAATAGATGTAGATGTTTTCTTTGTTGTTGTTGTCGCGACCCCAAATCACTGGTGCGTTCAAGGTACCTTGAAAGAGTTTGCAAGTTCACTGGGGTGGCTTATTTATTTGTCAACATCTTCAGTTCAACGGCTCATTGCACAGTTATCTAAATTTCACGGGACGTTTGCTCTGGGTAGACATAATTTGCGAAGGGGGCTATTGCTATTTTTTTTCTACAGTATTCATTCATTTTTTTTAAAAACAGTACAAGTACAGGCGTAGGCAATATTATATGAATGTAGTTCCATTACAACTTTTCAATACTTTAGAACTATATTTACGCCAGTCCGTGAAAAATAAATTACGTCTCAGTCAAATCTAGATTTAATAATAATCTAGGTTGAATAGTTTACACGGAAGTCATACTGATGATATTTTTATTGGACAAAGAATAAAGTCACCCGCAGTTAATTAGGGTTTCGAGCCCATTTGGTCGAAACCCTTTTGTAATTGTTCCGTTTATTAGGGTTTCGAGCCCATTTGGTCGAAACCCTATTGAAATTGTTCCGTTTATTATTATGATTCCGCCTAAATTTTTGGTCACGCTTTATGTCAACGCTGTTGAATCGATCAGCTCCATACTTGCCACATTGGTAAAGCTGGATGAGATCTGGTGCATATCCTACGTTCAGACACATACGTCACATGACCAGGCCGCCATCTTGGATTAAAGGCGAAATTTTCAATGCCGAATTGCACACCTTTCTGAGTGGGTCTGAGTGCTCCAATTTTTTTATGATA